CTCCTTTAAATTTTGCAGCAAATATGACAAACAACGATAAACGCACCAAAAGTGTAGAAGAAATCAATTCTTTAAATTTTGACAAAATTTAAACAGAAATTAAATTAATGGACCTTCTTTTTAGATTTTTGATTTATGTTTTCTATTAAAGCACCTTAAATAAGTAAAATAGTCGGTACGGAGTATATTTATTTAAACAAATAAATCAATTAAATATAAATTTATATGTGTTTTTTTCCTTAATTATTATTGACTTATTGTTTTTTGCTGTTTTTTTATATATTTATATATAATACATCTTCTTTTAGTGCACAAAGAAGGTGGCTAAGCAAATTAAAACATATCAATAATATAATGAATATTGTACTTATAGTATAAATTAAATTAATGAGTTAATTAAATTAATATCAACAAAAATAATAGCATAAAGCATTAAAAATTGTTTAATGAAAACTTGAATAACAAGCAAATGGACGGCATTTTACTTATTTCCAAACAAATCACAAAAATAAACAAAAATTTTAAATCGCGGACGTTATAAAAATAAAAAATTATAATGTGCACAACATTATTTTGAAGGAATAAAGTTCAAATGATTGTTTAATTAACTAAAAAAATCTTAACAGCACAAAAATTCTTTGTAAATAATACAGTGTGTTAACTGAAATAACTTGTGAAATAATTTATTTGAAGCAGCTAAGTTTGGTTATGGAGAAGCAATAAAATCAAGAATAAAAATTTAATCTTTAATACTTCGAAATTTACCGACTAATTTATAATAAATAACATTAATAAATCTAATTAATATAATATAATTTATAAAAATAAAAATAATTTTTAATGTTATTTTAAATATCGAGAAAAACAAATTTAAAAACTCAATTTTATTTAACTAATTTTAAAAATATCAAAAAATATATCAACTAGAAAAACCATTGAATTCACTCTTGATGGGAAATTTAACTTAAATTTAAAAATAAATCAGAAAGTTAATTAAATAAATAAAAATATTAAATAAAATATATAATCTTAACGTTAATAGACAAAATCAAAGAAAACATTGTCGAATTTGAATGTTTAAGATGTTTTTTGAACACTTTTTTTGAACATAAAATATATTAAAATAAAATTCAAATAATAAAATTTATTTGCATAAATTATTGCAAATTACTTTTACTTTTAAATGCTTAATTACTTTTAAATGGAAATGTGTATAATTAGATTAATTTTCTATCTAATACAGCGATCGGATCTTACATGGAACGTGGTGCTCCGTTGATACTAATAATTTGAATTAATTTATTTATTATAATATCATAATTTTGGCTGTGGCTAAGAGGCAGATTCACTTTTCGACGGACATTAAAGTTTAAATAATAAATAAATAATTAAATATAATTAAAAAATACTAGAGAATTAAAAATATATATATTAATTTTAATGAATTATCAAATTAATTCAAAAATAATAAATTGATAAAATGATTTGATAATTTATATTAATATTTAATTAATTAGAAAGGATAAATCAAGAGCACCATTGCGCTTGGTTGATACTATACTTATAATATATTTAAATTTAAATAGAATATGAAAATTTTTTAAATTAACCATCGATTTCAAACTTCATGATCGTATTATTGCGCATGGATCAAATAACAAATATAAATATGTAGCTATTAAAATTAAAAATAAAATTAATTTAAATATGAAATCTTAAATATAAAATTTCCTACCCATATAAGAAATATTCAACATATTTCAACATAGCAGTGAACATATCAACATATGTATCTTAAGCATATTTACTATTCAGAAAAAATATATATATATATGTATAAACGACAAAAAAAAATGAAAATTAAGATTAATTAAAGAATTGATAAAAAATGGATGAACTGAAAAGATGTAGTTATTCCTGGAATCCATTGATAAAGTTTCATTTTATAAATATGCATAAAATATTTTATTATAGAGTAGTTAGATATAGTTAAATATGAAATAATTGACGGATTTATTCTTTGTATCAATAATACTTTTAGACACCTACCTAATTAAAATAACTTGTAAGATTAACTTTAGAAAATCTTTCTAAAAATTATATATCTTTATAATTAAAAATTTATTAATTTAAATTTATTAAATTGTTGCTTATTTTAGCACATCATTAATAATACAGAACCAAGTAAGGTCACAACAAAATAAAAAATTAAAATAACAAAATTATAATGTTTAGAATAGTGATTATGAATATAAAAAGTAACCTTTTATAAGATTATCTCACATATTTAATATCCTTGTAAAATAAAATATCAATAACTCGTTTCATGAATATCCCGGAATATTAGTTGGCACAAAAATTGTCTTTTTATGGTGCAGTACGCTTTATGTTAAATGGAGAATTATAACGATAAATATAATAAAAATTAAGAGAAATATAAATAAATCAAATGCAATGGAAAATATATTATAAAATAGTTATATGGTTTGATATGGATAAAATGATATTTAAAAAAATTCGAATCAAAACTCAATAACAATTTTATAATTAAAAAGTTGATTAAATTAATTAAATATTCAATAAAAACCCCGGCATATTTTATAATGATTAATTATTTAAAAATAATTATTAATTAAAATAGTTAAAGAAAGTATACGTTCAGGTTTTAAAAGCAGAATCGAGAACAATTAGAGGGAATTTGAATTATTCCGATTATTACATTTAAAACAATTTTTAAAATATATTAAATATCAAGACAAGATTGTGTTAAAAATCAATAGAACCACACAAACAAATAATTGATAGTGAATAAAATTATTTTAGCAAACAAAATTGTAATATGCAATTTTATGATTTATTTAAAAATTAAAATTTAACAATCAACAAATTATTATCATAATTCAGAATAATGTAAGTAATTATTTGAGTAAAATATTTTAAGTAATTAACATTATCACAAAAAATAATGCTCTATTATTTATTAGCTTTAATATTACCAGTTATATATTAAACATAATATAATAATATAACAATGTCATTAGAATTTATTACATTAAAATTTTAATATTAAAATTCTTTAATATATAGAATAGAATCTTGACATTTGAAGCTAAATTGGAAATTTATATATCATTTTTTAATAATATAATTATCAATTGGTATTAATAATGATTTAAATATAATTTCCAATAACTAATTGAAATTGAGTTTCATAAATATCCAAAAGTTGCTACTTCTAGACAAATTTAAGCAAATTGACAAAAAATTAATAAATATACACCTATATTAAAATAAACTAGTCGAAAAATTAATGTTCTTCTATAAAATTTACGTAAAAATTTGTTATATATTCGAATAACAAGACAAATGCTGTATAAAACATGCCGACGAATGCTGCATTATTTTAATTATCAGTAAATAATTAAATGATAAGTTAAAAATTCTTTGCGTTTGTGGTTATATTTCTTTGTGTGGTTATCAAAATAAATATTTATCAATATAATCAAAAGTAATAAATTAATAATTTAATTCTTCAAAATTTAAAAAGCGAATTTTAAGATAACAACAAATTTATAACCAGATTAATGCAAGTTAGTCAATTAATAATTTGTTATAATAATAAGTATTAATCGTAATGTATAATCGATTTAAATTAAATTTAAAAAATGTAAGAAAATTTAATTTTGAAATTAATACATGTTGACATTTAAATAATATAATTTTTTCAAATAGCTGTTCAACAGCATATTAATCAACTTGTATGTAAAATTATGATTTTTCAAATATTAAAATAAAATTTAATAATAATTAATTGTCTTTAAAATAAACGAAATTGCCAACATATCTAATTTAAAACAGTACTTTTACTAATAATTATTTATTAACAAAATATATTAATATAAAATTGACAATAAAATTTGAAAAAATAATAACATGTTAAATAATTTTAAATTATAGTTTAAAATATTTAAAAATATATCAAAATCTCCGCCCAGATTAACGAAAATCTATAGAAAATCAGTTGCAAATTCAAATAATTAATATGCATAATAGCTTTAAAAAATAAATCTTGAACAAATAAAAAATTAATTTTTATAGCACTAAAATCATTGATATAATACAACAGCATAGAACATATTAAAAGTTTAATAAAATCTATTATTTGTAAAGGTTAATATTAAGTTCATTTAATGTTAATATAAACATATATTTCATGAAATTTATTTGTTGATAATTAAAACAAATTAATAGCAAATTTTAAGTAAAAAATAAGTTTTTAGATTAATTTTAAAAAAATTTAATATTAAATATATAGAAGTGAATATACAAAAAAGATTAAATATATTGATAAGTAAATTAGCAGAAAAAGTAATAATAACTAAATATAATAATAAAGAAATACACTAAAGCACACAGAAAAAGCATTCTTTTTTACGATAAAAATTATCTAACAATTAAAATTTATATTAAAAAGTTTAAAACTTGTTAAAAATTGGTATGTATATGAAGGTTGCAGAAAGCAAATGAAGGTTGCACGTCTTCAATTACAATTTTATAATAAATATTATTTAAAAATATGTTTTAAAAGGTGTAACATTAATTGTAAAGTAATGATTATTCATCTAAAATTTTTATTCACATAAGTTTAATTTAAGAGAAAGCACTGATATTGATATAACACAAGGATTACATTTATATACCACAGAATATTTTAAAAAATCCAACAATTGTCAAAATAGCCGAATTAAAATAGCCGATACAATTAAAATAGCCGATACAATTAAAATAGCCGATACAATTACAATTAAATATTGAAATTAATAATTTAAGTTTTAAACTAAAAGTAATTTAATTTTCGCTCAACATAATCTTATAAAAACTATAGAATTTTAAAAATACTTAAATTAAAAATACTTAAATTAATTTTTAAATGTTTTATATTTTATTTTACAATATTAAATAAATTTATTCTATAATTCATTTAATTTTTTAATTTTCTTTTATGCAATTGGACAGTGGCAGGTGCCAGGAAGACAAGTCATTCCCTGGCAATCATCATTCTAAATTAGAAATTTAAACTTTCTTATGTTAGCGCTTAAATTAGGGAATTTAAACTTACACTTGCGCAACTTTTAGCCGGGGCACAGATACGTTCTATTGCATCAGTTAAGTTGGCGAACCCTGCTAGTTTATAAGCCTTCTCACATTCACATTTATTTGTCGTCTCGTTACAAGCATTTTTAAGACCGCCACATTTACTTTGAGGACTACCATTGAGAGTTTCAACCAAAAACGAAATTGATGGAACAGTACCTTTAAGTGTATAAAAAAGAAGAAAATCTAACTTAACGTAGAAAATCGGATCTGATGCTATCGGTTTCAGTTACCCTCGGTTCGGGTTATAGATCATCCAAAAATTTTATATTTTTTGGTCCGGTCTCGGTTAAATGATGAAATTTGGAAAAGCTTATGTAGAGCCCCTAATCTTATGTAGAGCCCCTAATTGAAAACACGAGGTATTGAAACTCGTTATCTTTTAGATTAAAGCAATTTAAATTTAACAATTAAATTACATGGTGCATTCTCTCCACACGTGCACTCGCATATTCTATTACCCACACAAGTTCCATTAGTTTGACAATCATTATCGCTAAAGCATGGTTTAGTAGCTTGACATTTTTGATTTTGCTTTAATTAATAAATCCAAAAATAATTTATTAAAGAATTAATTACTGTATTATTTCCATCAGCTCGCCAAAATTCATTGTTAAAATCACCCAAATTGTTATGAACCATCCCATTATTGAAGCAGATAAAAGCAAAAAATGATATAAATGGGAGGATTAATTTCATTTTATTAAACATAATTTGATTTGTTAGCTAGATTATGGTTAGAAAGATTTTAGAATGATCTAGAGCTAAATTAAAAAAATAATTTTTTATGGGTAAACATTTTAATGGAAAATTTTTTAAAATATCTTATTAAAATTTTCTGAATTTTTATAAAAAAGTTTTTAAGATGTTGACAGAAAAAAGTTTGTAAAAATGCTTTAGAAATGAGAAAATTTTGCACTTTATATTTCCTAAAATTCATCCCACACAATATTTAATAACATTTAAAATTTTGTTAAATTAAATTATTCACAATTAAAACGAGTCATTCTTTCATTGGTTTTATATTAGGTGGAAAATTCGGGAAATGTTAAATGTCTTGTTAATTTTAAAAATATAAGTTTTATTTAAAAACCTATATTTTTAGTAAGAAAATATTTTTTTAATTTTTGATTTATCGTCATTTACATCATAAGTACATAAATATGTAAATTAAAGTATAAAAAAATATTTTTTATTATTTTTGTGAAAAGACTACTTAAATTTTATATTTTTTAAAATATTTATATTTTTAATTACTTAATAATTTTAACTGTTAAATTAATAAACCTGTAAATATTTATTATTATTCCTATTATTTTTATTTTTAAAAATTAATTTTAAATAATTTTAAGAATAATACAATATCCCTGACAAGTTTTCTTAAATCAAATATGTAACTAATAATAATAAATTAAATTTAATTAAAAACTATAAATTAAATAAATAAAAAATTAACCTTGTGGCATTTCATTAAATCTAAATATTTTTATTTAATTTTATTTAAATTTATAAAAATTCCATCTCTGCCTGCTCTTTTCTTTTTATTTCACCACTTTAATTGTGGGAAGACTGACACTTAAAATTCTTCGTTCACAGCTTTTGTTTTTTTTGTAAATTCAATAAATATTTGTGTTGAGAGAGCAATGTGTAGATTTTTTACACATCGATTGAACCATACGAACGAAATTACCAGCCACAAAATTATACTTATTTTTACCACAAAGCTATTTTTTAAGACCTACTATTTAAATTATTCTTATAAAATTAATAAATTTAATAATATATTGTCTATTAATTGATGATAATAAATATAATATATTTTTAAATTCTATATAGTAAACTATTCAAAAGTTTACTATTTTTGTTTATCATTTTATCTCAAAAATTAAATATTATTAAAAATAATTAAAAATATGAAATTATTTAAACACTACAACATTTAATTCATTATATTCAAAATTATTTAAATTTAAACTAAATTAAATTTTCGTCAATTTATTTGATATTTAGTTATATCTACTAATTTTTTATAAGATTATTAAAATAATTAAAAAAATAAATATAAATTTAATAATATATAAAGAAATATATGAAATAAATAAATAGGTAAATATAAAGAACTACAAATTACCGTAGTCTCTAAAATTACTGTAATTTTTTAAAATAATTTTCATTAATTCTTAAATAATAAATTAAATTATAATATATAATAACAATTATAAATTAATGAACTATCGGAATTATTACATAATTAATATAGAAATATATTCAAAATACTACAATATTGCGTTAGAATTGATAGTGAATTGAACTTGCACTGAACTGAATTATAAAGACACTTATTCAACTGAAAATTAAAAAAAATAATAGAATAATTTTAATAAAAAGTATAACTTAGATTTTTTCATGCACAGAAGTCTTAATCTGCATAAATTACCCACTTTCGCTCATAATTAAAACGTACTTACATAAATAATTTTAATATATTTTTTAATAAATTTTCAAAGTTAAGTATATTTCAAATTAATCTGGCCTTGATGTGAAATTCTGAAAATGACAGAAAAGGTTAATTTAATTAAACATAATGAATAAAATAAGTAAAAATTATATAACTGATTTTTAATAAATTAATATATTAAATAATATGATGAATCTTAAAATTCAAGATATGTATGAAATAACTTTAATTTAAACTGTAGTTAAATGCTATTTTTTGATATAGATTTAGCTACTAAAATTTTATTCAGCTAAAATTAATTAAATATGTATACTAATAAAAATCTTAAAAATGATTCATAAAACTTTTATTAATGCTTTTCTACAATAATAATTTTTTAAATAATAGTACTTGATTTATTAAGATGAAAAATTTGTCGATCTACATACGTTTTCAAATGAAATTTACGACGAAGCATAATTGTTTTATATAAATAAAAGTTAAAATTAAACGAATATATGTATTTTAAATAAATATAGTTATCGGATCACCATTGGATCAACATATTATCAGGAATAACTTATTAAAAAACGGATAAGAATGCTAAATTAATGTAATATAAAAGATAAGCTATAATTAACTATAATTAAAATATTAAATAAATTATATCTTGAAACATTCTTTTTATACAAAAGTATGTATGATGCTACAAAAAAAATTTAATCGTGTTGAGACATCTGTCAAATCCTTTAGATTTGAATATTTTTTATTTATTAAACTTTGGCCAAATTTTGTCCATAATTTTAAATACATTGCCCGCTCTAATTTCCTTTCTGATCTTTACCCGAAAAAATGGCCAAACTATAAAAATTTAATGCCCACTCAAAAATGCTAATAATAGTGATGGGCCAGAAAGTATCCTTTCCTTTGTAAATTGTACAATTTTTGTTGGCCTATGCGCCTCTTTTCTCTCCCTTCTCATATTTTTTTGAACCTGTCATTGGCCTGCCCAGCTAACTAGAAAAAGATTTTTAGTATCCCCCTTTTTTGTGTATTTTGATCCCAACACTCTCCAAGAATCTCCTCCTCCTTACCCGAATATAAAATAGAATTGTGAGTGGCTTTTCGTCAGTTGTTTAACTACAGATTTTCCCCCCTCCCAGAAAAGAGTCAGTTTTGAACTAAGTTTATGAACTACAATTTTTCCCCTTTTTGATTTGGATTTCCTTCCTTCGAATTTGTTTGTCTAAAGTCGTTTCTACCCCTTTCGTAAATGAATTTTTAATTTGTTTGAAATAAAAAGAAGTTTGTTAATTTTAATTATTTGTGAGGAAATAAATTGATTAAAATTGTTTGTTAGATTTATTAAAAAATTAAGTTTTTTATTTTTTCCCCTATTCGAGATTTCCGAATCTCGACACATCATTGAAATTTTAACATTAATTTGAGTATAAAATAAATTACTGAATGTCATTTAAAATATTAAATTTTATATGTAAAATTATTAAAATATTTATATGTAGTATTTATAAATTTAATAAAAACATGTATAGAGGCAATTATATTGCACTAATAATCTGATAACTCTAATGTTCTAAACTACTTAATATAAAGCTAGCTAAAATAAAATTAATAAAGATTTTATTCTTCTGATGTTAATTCAATGTACCCATGTTGTTTGTTCAAGTGCTCATGCACCAGAATGCTGCAATGATAACAAATGTTGCACATTAATTGTGATCTGGCTAAACTGATTATAGCAATATTAACAAAGTATGGTTGATCATAGATGTATATATATATGAAAATTATATAGCTGATTTTTAATAAATTAATATAATAAATAATAATAAAAAATATGAATCTTAAACTTCAAGATATGTATTAAATTTAAACTGTAGTTAAATGGTATTTTTTATTGCTTTCAGCCTCTAAAAATCATACCTCCTAAAATTAATTAAATATAACAATAATAATATTAAAAGTGATTTATAAAACTTCTATTAATTATCTAATGTACATCAATCGGCAGGCCGAAACTTGCGGACCGACTTTTGCGGACAGAAACTTGCGGACCCGACGAATTTCTCAAAACATAGCTCATTCGAAATAGCTCGACGAGCTGAGTCGAAAGACATCAAAATCATCGTGATTGTACAAGCTTGGACAAAGTTACGATAGAAAAACAAAAATTTAAACCACAGGTCCGCAAAAGTCGGTCCGCAAGTTTCACACTACCATGGCATTTTATATTCTAATCATAAAGATATTCTAATCATGGCAATTTTTAAATAAAATTTGAAATAATCATTGTTCTATTTTTCAATTAATTACTAAATTAATTTATACTTAATAAAATAGTTATGTTCAAATTAAAAATATTTTTTGAACTAATTTAATTTTTTAAATAATTAATTCAATTTAAAAAAGGATCTACAACAAAAAATAAAATTTTAAAAATTTTTTATAAAAAATTTGTTATTGTTAAAATTTTGACACTAATAATTTAATAAGATAAACATTCAAAAAAGTTTAAAATTTATTAATTGAATGGAAAATTTTAAGCTGGTTAAAAATTTTTGTATAGTTTAATTGTACAAATACTTAATTAGTAATAATTATTCTATCAGAATTAATTCATAAAATATAACTTAAAATTTAAATATTTAGTAAAATAATTTTATATGTAGCATACGTATTTAATTGATATAATATCGACAAGGAATCAAATGAAATTATAGATAATTTTATGCAAATCATATTTAAAATATTTTTAATTAAAACTAAAAACATATAAAATTAAAAATAAGATTGATTCAACCAATGAAGATATCCTCTCACTTTAATCTAAAAATATATGTATATAAATAATAAGTATTAAAACGCTGAAAGTTAATTTGAATATAAAAAGTATATCAATTGAGTGTATGCCCAAGATTTGCCTCAGTTAATGTTGATAATCCAATTATGTTGAAATTAAAGAATATTATTGAAAGGAATATCGGTAAAATTGTTTTATGGAAATATAAATAAAATTGTAATATTTTTGAAATATGATAATAATTTTAAAGAAATATTATAATATTTAAAAAATAATGAATTTGATATTATTTTCATATAATTATAATTTAAACTTTGATGAATTGAGCTTGAAATTTGATGTGATTTAAAGCAAATACCTAAACTTTAAATCGAGTATGTTAAAATATAGAGTGTAATAATTATACGTATGTATTTTGATCGTCCAAGTGAAATGGATAACCAAAGAAAACTATTAAACAAACA